GGATTATTTAGTTGTCAGGTATTTGGGCATTTGAGGAATATGTCTTTGATTTCTAATTTCATGGACCCACCATGCCCTGCTTTGGGAAATGTTTTTAACTACAGATTCACTTACTTTAATATGCATAGAAGTCTTCAAATTATCTGTTTATTTTTTAGTAAGTTTTGGTGGTAGTTTGTATCTTCAAAGAAACTTGTCTGTTTCATCTAAGTTTTTGAATATATTGGCATAGAGTTGTTTATGATATCTTCTTATTGTCATTTTAGCATCTGTAAAATCTATGGTTGGGCTTGGTGGCTCAGCCTGTAATCCCAGCGCTTTGGCAGGCTGAGGTGAGTGGATTGCCTGAGCCCACGGGTTTGAGACCCGCCTGGGCAACTTGGTGAGACCTCATCTCTACAATAAATCAAAAATTAGCTGGGTGTGGTAGCGCACCTGTAGTTCCAGCTACTTGGAAGGCTGAGGCGGAAGGATCGCCGGAGCCCAGCAGGTCGAGGCTGCAGTGGCCAAGAGCGTGCCACTGCACTCTGGTCTGGGTGACAGGGTGAGATTCCAACTCAAAAAAAAAAAAATCTGTAGTGATTATCTCCTCTCTCATTCCTGAAATTGGTAATTTTTGTCTTTTCTTTGTCCTGGTCAGTCATTTTTTTCTTTACTAATATAGGAGTTTAATGCTATAAATTTCCCCTAAAGATTTGTCTTAGTAGCATTCCACAAATTCTGATATGTTTTCATTTACATTCAGTCCAGAATGCATACTAACTTTCCTTTTGATTTCTCCCATGATCCATGGGTAGAAGTGGATTATTTAGTTGTCAGGTATTTGGGCATTTGAGGAATATGTCTTTGATTTCTAATTTAATCCAGTTATGATCACAGAACATAGTTTATATGACTTGAATCCTTTTAATTTTATTGAGTGGTGGCCAACAATATGGCCTCTCTTGGTAAATGTCCCATGTGCACTTGAAGAGGAATGCATTTGCTCCTGTTGTTGGGTGAAGGTACTGTAAATGCCAATGAGGTCAAGTGGGCTGATGGTGTCGAGTGGATCAGGATGACCTTACCTGTTTTCTGACTCCTTGTTTGATGGACCAATGAGAAAGAAGTATTGAAACCTCTGCCTATAGTTTGTATTTTTCTATTTTTCCTCACAGTTCTGTTAGTTTTTGCTTCGTGTTTGGAAGCTCTGTCATTAGGTGTGTGAACACTGAAGATTGCTGTGCTTTGTGACAACTTGACCACTTTTTCACTATGATATGGCCTTCCTTTAGCCCTGGTCACATTCTTTGCTGTGAAATCGACTTTGTCTGCTATTATGCAGTCAGCTCAACTTTCTTTTCATCAGCATTGGCATTCTGTATGCTTTTCCCTCCTTTTGTTTTCTAAAATTTTACTTTATGTGAGAGATGTGAGCCCAAGTCAGGGTTCGGTACATAAGCCACCTACGTCCGGGTGCTTTCTGGGCCTCCAGCTGGTTTAGGGCCACATGCCCTTGTGGTGCCTTGCCTCGCCTGCCTCACCCCACCCCAGTGGTGTCTCCCGACTGCCGATCTCTCACTCGTGTTATTGTGGTCAGTGTTCAGGTCTCGCTTATTAGTGAGAGCGTGCGATATTTAGTTGTTTCTGTGATAGATCGTTAAGTGTGATTATCTCCAGCCCCACTCGATTGGCTGCAAAGTCCATGATTTTGTCCTTCTTTATGGCTGCGTAATATTCTGGTGTGTATATGTGCCTCGTTTTCTTTATCTAGTCCACTTTTGATGGGCAGTAGGATCGGTTCCATGTTTTTACTATTGTGACTAGTGCAGCAATAAACATGCATGAGTTGGGATGTTTTTTATAGAATGATTTGAGTTCTTCCAAGTATATTTCTAGAAGAGTTTTTCCATTCTTTTATTTTAACCTATTTGTATCCATATTTAAAGTTGGTTTCTTATAGGCAGCATATAGTTGGGTGTTTCTTTTTATTCAATATGAAAATCTCTGCTTTTTAATTTGAGTATTTATACCATCTGCATTTAATGTGATAATTGTGGTTAAGTTTAAATATACTATTTTGCTATTTTTGTTTCTATTTGTCCCATACATTCTTTCTTTCCCTTTTTCCTCTTTTGCTCTCTTCTTTTGGATTGAGTATTTTTTCTGATTTCATCTTAGATCCTTTTTGGCTTGGTAGCTATAACTCTTCATTCCATAATGGTGGTGGCTGCTTTAGAGTTTACAGAGTACATCTTTAACTCACTAGTCTACCTTTGAGTTGTGCTATATGTCACTTTCGTTTCTCCTTTATGCGACTGTGGTCATACATTTTAATTCCATTTATGATATAAGCTCTACATTAGGTTGTTAGCCTTTTAGACAATTGTTTTGAAGAGATTTAAACAACTAAAAAATTTTATCTACTCAAGGAGTTGCCATATCCAGTATTCTTCATTCCTTTGTACAGACACATTTTCATTTGGTGTCATTTTCTTTCTGCCTGAAGAACTTTCTTTACCATTTCTTTTACTGCAGATCTGATTAATTCTTTCAGCTCTTTTATGTCTGAAATTAATTTTTTTCTTCACTTAAAATATTTTGCTAAGTACAGAATTCTTTGTTGACCACTTTTTGTTTTCGGTATGTTAAGGATACTGTTCCTGCTTTCTTTTTCATTGGTAACAAAAACCTACTGTCACCTTCTTTTTGTTCCTATATACAAAACATGTCACTTTTCTCTGGCTGCATTTAGGACTTTCTCTGTCACTGGTTTTAATCAATTTAGTTATGGTGTGACTGTGTGTGTATTTGTGTGTGTGTGTGTGTGTGTGTGTGTGTGTGTGTGTGTGTATGTGTTTTCATGTTTCTTATAGTTGGAGTGCTTTGAGTTTTTGGATCTGCGGGTTTATAGTTTTCATGAAGTTTTGAAAAATTTTGGCAATTACTTCTTTAGATTTTAGATTATAGATTTAGATTTTCTCTTTGTCCTCTTCTTTAGAGACTCCAGTCACATGTATATTAGGTTACTTGAAGTTATACCACAGTTCACTTATGCTCTGTTCATTTTTTCTCTTTCTTTTTTCCTCTGTGGTTATTTTGAATTGTTTCTGTTGGTATGTCTTTAGGTTCACCAGTATTTTCTTCTGCCATATCTAATTTGCTGTTAATCCTACCCAGTAAAACTTCATCTCAGCTATTGTTATTTTCTAATCTAAAAGTTAAAAGCTTAATTTGGAATTTTAAGTATTTCACATGTCTTTGTATAACATTTTTAGTCTTTACTCTAGCTTAATAGGACTGTATTCTATACACTACACCTATAATAACTTTTAATGTCTTTATCTGATGCTTCTGCTGTGTCACTTTGGGGTAGACTTTGATAGATTGAATTTTCTCCTCATTATGGACATGTTTTCCTCCTCCTTTGAAAGCATGGTAAATTTTTGTTCAATCCAGACATTATGAATTTTGCTTTGTTGGGTACAGATATTTTTATATTCCTATAAATACACATGAGTTTTGTTCTGGAATGCAGTTGAGTTACTTGGAAATACTTTCTTTTGGGTCTTGTTTTTAAGATTTATTAGGCTGAACCAAAGCAGTGTTTAGTCCAGGGCTAATTGTACTCCATACCCAAAGCAGCAAGCCCCTTCTCAAATACGCTACCCGATGTCCCATGAATCATGACATTTTTCACTTTTGGCTGGTGGGAATGGGCACTACTTCTCACCCTAGGTGATCTCTGGCTTATCCTTCCTGCTCATGTTTTTTGTTGATTCTTTCCCTGACAGTGGGTAGTTTCATCACTGACCAGTATTATTTTACTGAATTGTTAAAGGGCACCCTTTACAGATCTCTGGAGTTCTCTTTGTGAAATTCTTGCCACTCTAGTACTGTCCTCTGATAACTCAAGCTGTTTTGGTCTTCCTAGACTTTTAGTTCAATCTCTTCATCTTATGGGGTCCATGAGGCTCCAGCTTAGTTCCCCCTCCCTGTATCTTGGCAGGTCAGAAGGAGAAGATTAGGGTGTGGCCAGGTTTTGGAAGCTTTAGGGTACTTTGTGGAAGAGTCAGGACTCAATCCTATAGACATTTCAAAGCTATATTTCAGGAAAATGTAGATGACCTGAACCAGTCCTTGTTGAATTTGTTAAACAGTGAGTGGTGAGTAAAGGGTTTTACTCTTCTGCTTCTGGCCTTCCTGCCAACCCGCAGATGATTGAGGAAGTCCTTCGTGACTAAATGGATGGGTGTTGATACTGGTTAACTATAGACCCCTTTCAATGGCCAGAGATGGTTTCTCCAGAAAGGCTCTAGGGTAACTAAGTGGCAGCATGGCACAGTACAAGAAAGACTCCCCCCCTTGCCTCAAACTGATTGTTTTTCTATAGAGGGGAAGGAACAGGGAGAAGCCAGGCTGCATTCTCAGATGACTTACCAAGGTGTGGGTAAAGGAGAGCTGATTGGTAGGTAGTCAGCCTAGGGCTTTTCTTCTCAACGTATGGCCCCCTGAAGAGCAGCACTGGCATCACCTTGGAGAGTCTTACAACTGCAGACTGTCAAGCCCCACCCGAGGTCTACCACTGTGATAAGAGCCTTAGGTGATTGGTGTGCACGTTAATTAAAGCGTGAGGAGCACTGTTCTAAGGATAAATGGTTACACATGCCCTCTAGTGGCTGCCCAGCAACTTGCAGGGCATTTTAACCCTTTCCCTGTTTAACCTGAGGACACTCGCCCGCAGTGCTTGCGGCTGCAGTGTTTACCCCCGAGATTTAAAAAAGAGAGAATTTAAAAATATAGTAATTATCTCTCTCTCTCTCATAGCAATTCTCATTAGGATTAGAGACAAGATCTGTTTAGAAATGACTCCAAGGACAGTTTTAATATTTTCATACTGGAAATCAGTCAGATTTGCTTCAGCCTCTAAGTGTGTGTTTATGTAAAATTAAATGAACATGGCAGCGAGCTGCACTTTTTTTCCCTAAATGAGTAAAGGGTTAAAACCTTTTCTCTTTTAGGACCTTTGCACAGAACTGCCGAAACATTGAACATTTAAACCTCAATGGGTGCACAAAAATCACTGACAGGTAAGCAGTGGGGATTAATTGGTGGCTGAATGTCCATGGGGAGAGTAAGGGGAGAGAAGCATGGTTGAAAATACCTTTAGTGCATCTGCTCTTTTTCAGCACGTGTTATAGCCTTAGCAGATTCTGTTCCAAGCTGAAACATTTGGATCTGACCTCCTGCGTGTCTGTTACAAACAGCTCCTTAAAGGGGATAAGGTAAGGGTGCCCGTGACTGTGAACAGGAGAAGCACCCAAAGCTCTGAACATTCTGGTGTGTGTGAGGCCTTCGTGAGGTCACACTGGAGCGAGAAATAGGTGACTCAGGACCCAGGGGTTGTCTCTGCCTCTGAATCGCCTGTGATGTCCTCAGCTCAGACCTGGGGATCAACTCTCTAGAGACGTGACTGCCTGTGGGTGTTTGTGTCCTCTCCCAGTGAGGGCTGCCGGAGCCTGGAGTACCTCAACCTCTCCTGGTGTGATCAGATCACGAAGGATGGCATCGAGGCGCTGGTGCGAGGTTGCCGAGGCCTGAAAGCCCTGCTCCTGCGGGGCTGCACACAGGTACCCAAGGGGCCAGACAGCCGTTTGTCTTGCGTGTCAGGTACTTGCCGTTGCATTTTTCTTGGTGTCTCATTGTTCCCTCACCTGGATTCCATCCCTCTTTTGTCTTCTCTGTCCACTCAGTTAGAAGACGAAGCTCTGAGACACATTCAGAATCACTGCCATGAGCTCATGAGCCTCAACCTTCAGTCCTGCTCCGTGAGTAGCATGCCTTTCCCGTGCTCCCTCCTGCTCCAGGTTCCCTCCTAAGGGGTCTGCCGTGGACCTCACTGTGCAGCCCCCCAGGCAGCGAGATGATGGGCAGGTGGCCGTGTTGCCACACCCGGATTTTTCATCCTGTGTCCTCATGTGACCTGTCAGTTTGCCACAAGAGGAAATAACAGCAACAAAAAGACATTGTACTCAATACAAAGCCACTGACATCTTCCCTAAATGCAACATAGATCAGGTCCTGATTTTGTTGAGCAGAGTATTGGAGAAGCTCCCAGGAATGCTGCCACTAACTAGTGTAAGACCCATATAATTCCTGAAAAGGTCTCAGTGTCTTTTTTTGTTTGTTTTAACTTGTAAATGGAGAAAAATGACACCTCTCATGTTGTCTCAGCGGATAACATGAAATAACAGACACGAAATGCTTTGGAAACTAAACTGCCGTTGTCAATTTGGTAACTGAAGAGGATGTTGTGCATCCTTCTGGGCTTCTCGGGGGAACATCGATTTTGAGAAGGGTACGGGAATTGCATTCAGCTTTTAATGAATGAATTATGAATCTTGAGAGTTCCCGGTGGTGGGAGAAAAAACAGAAACTATCTTCTGGACAAATCTTGACCTTATAGGCCCAGACTATTGAAAAATAGGACCTTGACTTCTGTGTAGGCTAGCCCTGGCAGATGACTTGAAGTATAATATAGATGTGCATGTTATGTTTGTATGAGTTAGTATATTTAAGTGAACACATTTTGAATCTTCATGGCTAAATTCAGAGAGTTCTAAGGCATTTGTCCATAATTTAGTGATTTAATTGTCCTATTCTCTAAAAGATGTAATGAAATATTATAAACATATCTGACTTATGAAACAAATATCTAAAGCTTTACTCTGCAGAAATTCAATCAAGTATTGATATGTCACTTAACTAGGCATAACCTCACGAGCTCTTAATGTAATCTGATTTTTTTAATTACAAGTTTGTGAATTTTGTGAAAAAAATCAAATCTGTATCCAGTTTGGTGACTCTACTCCCCTTAATAATACTAGACTATTTAAAAGTTACGCAGAGATATCACAAGGGCATGCTTGCCCTTTAATTCTCCTTATTTATTTTTTGGGAGACAGGGTCTCACTCTGGCACCCAGGCTGGAGTGCAGTGACGCCATCCCAGCTCACTGCAGCCTCCACTTTCTGGGCTCAGGTGATCTCCCATCTCAGCTGAAACTGTACATGCATGCCACCACACCTGGCTAATTTTTGCATTTATCGTAGAGACAAGGTCTTGCTTGTTGCCCAGGCTGGTCTCACACTCCTGGGCTCAAGCAGTCCTCCCGCCTCAGCTTCCCACTGTGCTGGGATTATAGGTGTGAGCCGCTGCGCCTGGGCTACTTCTTATTTTGTTGAGGTTATTAGGATACGATGTTACTAACCAGCAACCAAAGCTTATTTAGCAACAGTAGATCCATTTTTCTGCTGCTTCATTTCAGTATTGATGGCGCCTTCTGATTTTTCCTCTTGTGCTGCTTTTCCCCAGCGCATCACGGATGAAGGGGTGGTGCAGATATGCAGGGGCTGCCACCGGCTGCAGGCCCTCTGCCTTTCGGGTTGCAGCAACCTCACAGACGCCTCGCTTACGGCCTTGGGCTTGAACTGCCCGAGACTGCAGTGAGTACAGCGTGCTTTTTGCTTTGCAGCTTAGCGATTGACTGGGTTGACCGAGAGGGCTTCCTGCAGGAGGGGCAAGGCTTGCCAGCAGGTGGGATAGGTAGTGGTGGTGGTGGAGGCAGTAGCTGTGGGGTGGCTTTTGTTGGGTAAATCGGAGTGGAACAGTGGTATATCTAGTTGATCGAGCAGTATACTGGGAGAGAGTGAATGTCTGCCGCCAGTGAATCCAAACCTTAATTTCGTAAGGGTTGAGTGTGACATATCCACCCTCCTGATGTGCCTCCTCCCGGTCTTACACTGAGCATCAGAGTGATCTGCTGCTGACCAGTGTGGGAGCCTCGCATCCAGGGGTCATAGCTCCTCCTCTAGGCCGTTGCCGAGGGCTCAGAAGGAGCATCGAAACCGCCTTCTTGTTGTCTTCCCCAGTAGGAAAAATAGGTTTTGTTTCAACCAATAATGATCCATATTCTGAGTCTCAAGGTAGGACGTTATCATTACCAGCTATGACTCTTAATGCCTTAGTAATAGTAGAAATGTTAAAACTAATCGTTGCTCACACTGATGAGCTCACATGTGCTTCTGGATCTGTGCTAGGTATCTTCTAAGCATTCTCTCACTTGATCTTCACCGCCTCTCTGTGAGATAAGTACTATTATTCTCACCTGTTTTGCAGAGGAAACAAAGACTCAGAGAAAGTCACATGGTTTATCTTGAGTCACCTGATGAGTAAGACGGAAGACCATCATTTGAACTTACAGAGATTGTCCTCAGAACGAGCAACTTTAACCCCTGTACAAGAGGCAGGAAAAAATGCATTTTGATTACTTACTTACTAGTGAAACTGATCCATTTCCCCATTACATATCTTTAAAGAATTGTCTGTTTTTGTCTTTTGCTCATTTCTCCTACTTTTGTGTTAGGGAAGATTCTAGATAAATTTGATATTTCTGCTTAGTAGGGGAATCTGAGCAACCAAAACTGACCAGAAAGTAGGTCAAAAGTTACTGCTGTGAGAAAAGTATTGGGAGGCTGAGGTGAGAGGATTGCCTGAGCCCATGGGTTCAAGACCAGCCTGGGCAAGGTGGCAAGACCTCATCTCTACAATAAATCAAGAAAAATTAGCCGGGCGTGATGGCGCATGCCTGTAGTTCGAACTACTTGGAAGGCTGAGGCAGAAGGATCGCCTGAGCCCAGCAGGTCAAGGCTGCAGTGGCCATGAACATGCCACTGCCCACCAGCCTGGGTGACAGAGTGAGACACCGACTCAAAAAAAAAGAAAAGTAACAATGTTATTCATGTCTCCACCCCTGCTAAGCATAGGTAATTGAGAATAAACCCATGTTTTTCATTGCCTACAAATTTTCAAAATTTCCTTAGGGTAACTAAGAATTTTAATAAATGTAGCCTATCTCAAGGTTATTTTATTGAGTTTAAGTTCATTTTAATTGTGTAATTTTTAAAATTTTTATTATTTTTTTAATCTTGATTTTCTTTTAAATTGTGTTTAAAATATCACCAAATATGGCCAGGTGCAGTAGCTCGCATCTGTATTCCCAGTACTTTGGGAGGATGAGGCAGGAGGATTGCTTGAAGCCAAAAGTTCTAGAACAGCCTGGCCAAGAGTCGGGGGTAATAGTGAGACCCCTGCCTCTTAAAAAGAAAAAAGAAAAAATTAGCTAGCCATGGTAGCTCACACCGGTAGTCCCAGCTACTTGGGAGGCTGAGGCAAGAAAATCCCTTGGGCCTAGGGATTTGAGGCTGCAGTGAGCTGTGATCGTGCCACAGTACTTGACAGAACAAGACCCTGTCTCTTAAAAATTTTTTTCACCAGATAATAGACTAATACTTAAAAACTCCAACAACATATTTGTATAGTGGGAGAAATCCTGGATTTGCTGTCCCAGTTTGGAATAGAGCTGTGGGACTTAGGGCAGGTCACATTCTGCCCTAAGCCTCATTCTCCTTACCTGTTCCGTAGGGACAGCGTTTATATTTACAGTCTTTAGGGCTTTTACCAAAAGCAATAGTACATCAAAGAGCAGAATAGATTGGAGAGTGTGCATTGTGAAGTGTGTGACTCTAGGAGTGACCAGTCGGTACTTTTTCTCCCTGCACGCGCTCTCCCCAGGATTCTGGAGGCTGCCCGATGCTCCCATTTGACAGACGCGGGCTTTACACTTTTAGCTCGGGTAAGGCACAGATTTTAAAAATAGAACCAGACTGTAATTCACCTCCTCAGTTCGCAGAGACGGAGTGGTTTGGGGGGGCATATGAAAAATGACCTTCAGAAAAGACAGGCACAAAATAGAACAGAATTCCATGGTGTGTTTTGTGGCGGTTCCAGTTAGCCAGAAGTCTGGAAGGGTCTCGTAGAGGGCTCTGTGATGGTCAGGCCTTACCGTCGTTGGTCAGGTGGGACCACGCTGAGAGGAGCCCCACCGCCCTCCCCAAGGGAGATGCCCTTCCTCGCAGGGACCCGCGTGGCCTCAGTGCTCCCCCGCCTGGACCGTGCCCTGCCTTGCTGCCGGGAGCCGTGTCCTCCTGGGGGTGCGGGCACACTCTTCCCCCGCCTACCCCCCAGCATGGCTGGTGCCCCCCTAATGCCTGGTCTGTGGCTAGCGTTCACCTGCTGATAACTAGGAGCCGCTGGGAAGGTGCAGGAAACTTTACGGGTTGAGAGAAGGAAATGCAGCCCAGGGCTGTCCTGTTCCCCTTTCCAAAGTCTTGTGGCCCAGAGGGTACCTGTGCAGAAGTGCTGGTTCACCAGTGGCTTTAGGAACAGAGCATACTTCTTACTGGAGGAGAACGAGGATGCCGGGCCACCTGGTGACCCTCCCCACTGACCCACACACTGGGGTGTGTCTTGTGGACTCTTCCAGAACTGCCACGACCTGGAGAAGATGGACCTTGAAGAATGCATCCTGGTGAGTGGACGCCCGACTCCTGCAGAGCTGCCCTTCAGTCACCTCTGGGCAGCCCGGCACAGCCAGACACATGGGCTGGCTGTCCTCCCAGCCCTCCTTGACCAGCCAAGGTAGCAGGGCTTGGGGACCCGCGGAGGCCATGGCAGCACATGTGTAAACTTTTGGCTGTTCTGTCATCAGGCAGAGCTAGAGCAGAGAAGTCCAGCATGGCTGCATCAGTCAGCTTGCATGTCCCGTGAGGAGGGACCCTCCTGCCTACCCTTCTTTGTCCTGGCCCCCAGACCAAAGAATAGTCTGTCATCTCTAGAAGTAAGCAGATCGAGAGGGTTGCTGAAGAGAGGAGTTCCCGCCCCAGAGTGCTGGAGATGAGTTGTTAGTTCTTTTGCTCCTTCTGATTCTCACGTTCAGGAGAAGCCAGGATTAGGTCATAAGTCTGGTGTGGAAGCCACACTGACACAGCGTGTTTCTCTCCAGATAACCGACAGCACACTCATCCAGCTCTCCATTCACTGTCCCAAACTGCAAGCCCTGGTGAGTCTGAGTTTTGCGACTTTATTCGCCTCCTAGGGATGAGAGGTCCCTCTCACCCCCAAGAATCTGTTGGGGTTCCCTTTCCTGAAAGGTGTCATCAGTCTGGTCTCAAAGATCTGTTCATTGGGCTAACTTAAGTTGGGAGGCCGAGTGTCTCAGTGTCACTGCTTTCATTCCAGGATGTGACCCTAACAGAACCCGTGTTCTGGTCATGTTGCTCAAGTTCAGGTTCATCTTGCCAAGTGGCGTAAAGTTAGCACGTTGAAATGCTGAGTTATGCTCACGTGTGGGGGCAAGGAAGGCAAAACACTCAACGATCCCAGACGAGTGCTGAAGTCGCTGACGCTCCTGGCCGTGGCGGCGTCTCGTGCACAGCGCACACCCACGCTGCGACGGGAGCCTGGAGCGGGGCGTGGCCCTCCGCCTGGCAGGCCGCGTGTGCCAACCTGTGCCGTGCCGCTGGATCATAGCAACAGCCCCATCTCACCACCAGGAAACGGTGGCTCTGCGTGGTCAAGGGACTGGCCCCAAGCCACACGGCTGTTCTGAGGCCCCAGGTCTCTTGGCCTCCGCGGGGTCCGGCCTGCCCCTGCCCAGAGATACACGCAGCGGCTTTTCCTTCAGCAGCTTTCCCGTTTGAAACCTGCTCTGTCCTCGGGGTTAGAATTCCATGATGCCATGAACCCCACCAAGCCTTGAGTCACTCTCCACCGAGTCCCTCATTTCCATGTTCCCTCTGGCACGAGTGCAGCTGGGCTCTGGACACTTCTGGAATGTTTTGTAAAATCGTAGAACGTCCTTTTAATGACTTTACTGAGTATTCTATCTAATGGCGTTGAACCAAGCTCAATTCTTTATTTTTTATTTTTATTTTTTGAGTTGGAGTCTCACTCAGTCGCCCAGACTGGAGTGCAGTGGCCGCTCCCGGCCACCACAGCCTCGACCTGCTGGGCTCTGGCAATCCTTCCACCTCAGCCTTCCACGTAGCTGGAACCACAGGCGCGCGCTACCATGCTCGGTTAATTTTTTTGATTTATTGTTGAGGTCTCGTCAAGTTGTCCAGGCGGGTCTCGAACCCGCGGGCTCAGGCAATCCACTCACCTCAGCCTCCCAAAGGCGTGGGATTACAGGCTGAAGCACCGAGCCCAGCCAATTCTTTATTTTTTAAGTAGACTTAGGGGTACAAGTGCAAGTGGTTTTGGTTACAGGGATCAACTGTATCATGGTAAGGTCTGGGCTTTTAGTGTGCCCGTCACCCGACTTATGTACATTGGACCCAAGGGTGAATTCCTCATCTCTTTCCCCACCTCAGCCTGGCCACTCCTGAGTCTCCAGTGTCCACTCTACCACTGTGTGCCTTTGTGGGCCCGCAGCTTAGCTCCCACTCTGGGACTTTTTAAGACTTAGTTTAGTCAGAAACCCAGTTGCACCCAAATGCCCTAAGGAAGTGGTTGCCCTTTACGCATTGAGGCTAATTGTGTCGTCCTGCTGATGTCTTTACCCCAATTTGGTTCGGATCCTGTTTTAGAATTGATAGCCCCTGTACTCAGGTGTGCACTCCCCCTCCTCACCTGTTGGTCTCCTGGGACCTCTGGCCTCTCTGCTGCCCCGAGGTCTGTCCCTGTCCTCCTCGAGGCACCTCGCCTGGCATTTCCACTTCATCGGCTCCCACAAGGGATCGCCTCACAGCAGGTCCGGGGACCCCAGAGGCCCTCCACCAGCTCCTCCCTCCTGCCCTTCCCCCCTCTCCTCAGCGACCACCACAGGGATGTCTTCCAGATGGGGCACTCCACAGCAGGGTTCCTGGTGACTAAAAATCGTGTCCATTTTGCCCCTGTATTTATACAAGCCACTTCCAGAAAGGGAACTTAGAGTAAAAGATAAGCTGTATTAACACCAGAAGTCTCAGGTAAGAGCCCAAATAAAAAACATGAAGAATTACTAGCAGAAAAGTGGGGAAACAATTACAGATGAAATTATAGCTTGGCCTTGAGATTTTAATAGCTAACCGAAAAGGGAACTGCCGCGTTCATGTTTCCCACCCATTCAGTTAACTCAAGAAACACTTCCCGATGACTGCCACGTCCTAAGTGCTGTTCTAGGCACTGGAAAATAAGAAGGTGATTCACCAGGAGGGACCAACTTTATCCTGACTCTGAAATTCCAGCAAAATGTGTGTTCTGGATTCTTGTGTAAAGGCTCCGTGGGGAGCACCACCCTCTTTGGTCGTGGCCAGTAACGGCAGTACCTCGGGCAGCCCTCGGACAAAGCTGAGGGCAGACTGCGCACAAGTCTGGCTCGACGTGCGTCTCTACTGCAGCGGGCCTTGCTCCCGCTTCAGGGACTGGCCCAGGAGCTGCGTGAGATTTAAGCAGGGCGATACTTGGCGAAGCGAGGCAGGTGACATCCCTGAACATTATGTAGGAAACAAGCACAAAGACTCTCAAAGGCCCAGAGGATGCAGCAAGACTGACTAGGGGCCTCAGGGCCCATGCAACCACATGGCAGTGAGTTCCCTGGGTTTTCTTTTGCTTCACATATCCCAGGCTGTGTGCTAGAGAAGGTGACAAGCCTGAAATGCCGAGAGATACAGAAAAAGAGGCTGAAGAAGAATCTGCTCTCCCCAAAGGACCAGGAAAGGGGCAGCCTGCCAAAACAGAAAACATGTAGTCAAGAATGCCTCTGTTCCAGCCAAGTCATAGGAAAGAACTGCCGCACCACGCCCAGCCCCGCCAGCAGAGACCAAGTGGGGAGCTGGGGGTCTGTCTCTTGGCACAGTGGTAATGAGCTGCCTGGCCCCCACCGGCAGTGTCACGGGGACCACACAGGGAGCCTGGACTTAGACCCCCACCTAATGAGAAGATGCCCCTCCCCCTCCTAGTCAGGTTGTCAGCTGAGGCCGAAGGGGTCTGAACCCCCACCCTCCCACCAGTAACACGGCCCCTGTCACGCAAGGTGTCAGCAGAGGCTGATCTGGGAACTTGGACTTCTGCCCCAGCAGCAGAAAAGTGCACCCACCCTTCCACCTCTGGTACAAGGTAGAGGTGGCCTGCTAAATCATGATTTAAGTAAGGCCTACAGTCTCATAATACCCCAGATCTCCAGGATGCAATAGGAAATCACTCATCATACCAAGAACAAGAAAACTCTGAATCTGTGTGAGAAAAAACAGCCAACAGACACCAACACCAAGATGGTAACAAATGTTAGACTTGCCTGGCAAGGATTTTAAAGCAGCCATCGTAAACATGCTTTACCTCGTAATTATGAACACACTTCCCTTGCAGAAATGAAACACAGCACTTCCTGTCTCCTCCTGCCACTCCTTGGCCTCTTTTTCCTAGGATTGGCTCCTCACCTCAGCAGTCTCTTCCTCAGGTTCAGCTTCAGCGTCATACGCTCTCAGAGCACTTGCTTCAGCTTAAAAGTTTAGGCTGGGCGTGTGGCTCATACCTGTAACCCCAGCACTTTGGGAGGCAAAGCATTAGGATTACTTGAGCCCAGGGGGTCAACACCAGCCTGGGTCACATAGCAAGACCTTGTCTCTACAAAATATCCAAAAATTAGCCTTGCGTGATGGCATGTGCCTGTAGTCCTAGCTATTCTGGAGGCTGAGGTTGGAGGATTGCCTGAGCTCAGCAGGTCAAGGCTGCAGTGAGCTGTGATTGTGCTGTTGCACTCCAACCTGGGCGACAGAATGAGAACCAGACTCAGAAAAAACATAAGTTTAATTAGTGCCATTTTATTTCTAGACTTGTCTGGGCTCCCCAGTGTAAAAAAAGTGTATTTTTACTTGTCACCACAGAGTTGGAACTCACATACTTGAAGGAACAAATTAATGATTAGGATATGTTGATCCGGTACTTTCTGCCTCTTTAGTTTTCTGGATGAGGTGAATCTTGTATCTGATATGCACTGAGGGGAACTGTCAGGTCTGAAACTTTATTGATAGGGAAAACTCAAAAGAATTGCAGAAATGCCATTTGGCTGTATGACATTAATCTGAACTTTTCTGTAACCTTTACTGTTTACCCAAGAGAAGCCAGTAATGTCAGAACTGTCAGATCACACTGCTCAAGGTCTATTTGATTAGAACCTTCAAAGATGCTCAGGATATCTTCCAGGATGCACAGGATAGCTTCAGGAACCTTCAAAGATGCTCAGGAATCATGGCTGTTTACTCAACTTTCTCAACATTAGGCTCATTGACTTCACTGGCATACCCTCAAGTGAAGAATTGGGAAATAAAACTGCTCTCAGAGGAGTAAACTCTAAAATTGCCCCTGAACATTTTGTTCCCACCTTTACATAAGGGTGAGAGAAGTCACCTCCAGTTGCAGTAAACCCTTGAGCAAAGGATCCCAAGGTTTTGTTTGGTCCTTTTTGCCTGATTAAGCAGTGTCTTAGTCTGTTTTGTGCTGCTTTAACAATACTTCAGACTGGGTAATTTATAATGAACAGAAATTACTTTCTCACGGTCTGGAAGCTGGAACTGGGGGGACCATAAAGAAATAGAGTTAAAGCTTAAGTTATAATATAATCATTAAGAAAACAATGGACGGATGCATGTAGGGGCTGGCGTCTGGGCAGGGCCTTCTTGCTGGCCATCCCGTGACAGCAGGTAGAAGGGTAGAGCCAGCTTCCCTGCTTTTCCTAAGCCATGAGCCTTGGAATCAGGGAGCTCCTGTAAACACCTCCCTTCTCCATGTTCCAGAGCCTGTCCCACTGTGAGCTCATCACAGATGATGGGATCCTACACTTGAGCAACAGCACCTGTGGCCACGAGCGGCTGCGGGTACTGGAGCTGGACAACTGTCTCCTCATCACGGACGTGGCCCTGGAGCACCTGGAGAACTGCCGGGGCCTGGAGCGCCTCGAGCTGTACGATTGTCAGCAGGTCACTCGGGCAGGCATCAAGCGGATGCGGGTAGGTGTGGGGTGGGCGGGCAGTCACACCTGGCGTGATTTCTGAGCAACAACGGAATACATCGTGAATCGACCTCAACCTATAGTTGTGCAGACTGATCTAGTTACACAGGGGTCACCTTAGGCGTCTTCAGAATTCCCTCGCTGACACCCTCTCTGGAAGATTCAGTTGAGTGGGTCTGGGGTGAAAGGTCCAGTCTGGTAGTCATCACCGCCCTTCTAAGAAGGCTTGTGTCAAAGGAGCAACTTCAGTCGTTATTAGTCTGAGGTGGAATGCAGTCTTGCCTTAACTTCCCAAGTGCGAGAGCTTGACCAAATTTGGCTTTCCTTCCTCACATCGTTTTCTTGATTTGGCTTTAAGTGTAGGCAACTGTATTTACAGGCCCTGCTAGGGGGCTATGGCTGTAGAGAACTTTGTCACTTATTTGCAAACAGGGCTGGTTCCTACCCCTGGGCAGAAACAGGTCAGCTTCAGTTTCTCTTGTCTTTAGAACAAACTGTTGGCTGATGCCAGGAATAGCTGTAACCTGCAGCAGAAATTCTGTGTGAACTACCTGTCTCACAACATTCAGGTGAAGTCAATTGTGAACGGAGCACTGCAGATCCTAGGCTTGTGACCAGTCACAAAGACACCCGTGTGAAAGCTCCTCTTTCTTCTTCCTTCTGCTAGGCTCAGCTCCCTCACGTCAAAGTCCATGCCTACTTCGCTCCTGTCACCCCACCGACAGCAGTGGCGGGAAGTGGACAGCGACTGTGCAGGTGCTGTGTCATTCTCTGACAGCAGCTGCCTGGGCCCAAAGGGCGATGAGTCTTCCCGACCCACTCCACCATCACCCAAATCTGTTGATTCTCCATTGGGAAAGGCATTTACAGGTAAAGACTTCTGTGTGGATTGCAGTATCTCTGGTGATCGTTTCCACCTTTATTCTGCTGTGGTACAATCAAATCAAAGCCTTGTGTCCGTTAACACGTGGCAAGTGGTCTCAGTGCAGCCAGGACCATGCCAGAAACCTGGATCTCTTAAGAGCTGGGTGCCTACCCAGGTACAGAAGTCCTCCCCTTGGCAATGTCAGCATTCCTCAAACCAACTGTCAGTGTTAGCACAAATTGAGCAGAAAAATAAGCTATTGATTTCCTACTTGACATGTAAGCCAGTGGCCTATTTAATTCACAATTCCATTTTGATCAGCTGGACTTTTCCACTTTGAAGATTAAATAGCAACTTTATCAAAGTGACTGTGTTGCAGATCCACAATGCCTGATAGTTTTATATGTAGAGACTGAATGTGGAAGGCATGTCAATAGGTTTCCATGAGACACCAAAGAAAAGAGGACTCTCATCTGGGTGGAGCAGGTCTTCACCTTTCTGTGTCAGCTTGTCATATACACCACCAGGGACCAAAAACTCAACAAAAGCAACTCAGTTGTGTTGTCCGTTTGGATAGGGTAAGCTCTGGCATGTGCTACAGCACATAACGCATTTTTGTTAAAGAAAAGTGAATTATGTCCACGCCTCATAAAACTGGGGGGACCATAAAGAAATAGAATTAAGGCTTAAGTTATAATCATTAAGAAAATAATGGATGGATGCATGTAGAATGGATGTGATTTTTTTTCAAGTTTATTTAAAAATCTTAGAAATCAGGTCACACCAAAACTATTAAAAAATTTTACACTTAAAACTCAGATCAGTAAAGTGTTGGCGCCTTTAAGACTCCTAATATAAAATTGAATAAACCATTGCAATGCTGAAAAAAATTAAGTCAGAGGGTTTTATTGCTATTTATGGCAGACAAATCTAAGCAAAACGATTTTCCAAATTCAGACCTTCCTAATGTAATCTGAAATTCAGTAAGATGAACTGTTTTCTGCTGTGGCTGATTCTTGCTCTGTGCTGTCCACATTTATGGTCTTTATTGAAGATTAAGAACCTACCACCACCTTCATTGTAAACTCAGGTGTTAATGGTAGCTGACCCTTCTAGGAGCTCATGGGACACTGAAGTGAAACACCAAAAACAAGATGTTTTCCTATAGGTTGCAACAGTCTTACGAGAGGGACAGTTTCAGTATTTTTAAGGAGGCCAGGCCATACCTGCAATCCCAGCACTTGAGGAGGGCAAGACTGGAGGGCTGCTTGATCCCAGGAGTTTAGAAAAGAGAAAAATTAGCCGGGAGTGGGGGTGTGGGGGGTGTGGGGTGGTGGTGGTGGTATACCTGTAGTCCCAGTTACTCAGGAGGCTGAGATGGAAAGATCACTTGAGCCCAGGAGTTCAAGGCTACGCTGAGCTATGATCACTTCACTCCAGCCTGGGGACTAGAGTGAGCCCCCAACTCAAAAAAATATTAAAAAAAAAAAAGTATTTGTAAGGACACATCGCCTCAGCTGCACCCTATGAAGAGAAAGCATATGGGGTTATACATACATACCCCCCCAATGACTTAGCAAAATTATCAGAATAAGCATTAAAGTACTGATTATTTTATTTCCTTATGATGACTTCTGGTAATTCCTTGGTCTAAAAACTGTAGTTTTTAAAATATCCACTTACACCACTGTTGAGGGAAGGAGGGCTGTGCAGGAAGCCAATTCAATAAGCGAGCATATGACAGACTTGTTTCAGTTGATTATGAATCACAGTTTCTATTAAAATGTTCATTTAAATGACCACAGCCTCCTATTCATGATCTCTTTTGAGCCAGCATACAGCAGTATACTGGACTCAGTGGCCCATGGCCTCATTTGCAAAATAAGAAAACCTCTTGTTAGAATACCAGATTTGCTTGCTTTTTAAGTGTGGAACAATTCCTGGAGTAGCCTGTCCTCAGTAATAAACTCAAAAGGAAAAAAAACCCCATGGGCCTAACCACTTGTAACATTCGGACTAGCACGTGCTGAGGAAAGGTTTAAGGGATTTCTGTGGTGCACACACAGGGAACTCCTTGATTCTATGACTTGAGGTGACACTAGCAGGACTGGATTTTAAATGAGACACACATTTGCAAAACAATCGGAAAACATTTATTATACTGAAATGTGTACATCCTACTATTAAAAAAACAAAGTAACAAATTTGCTGGTGCCATAATTTATTTAACCTGTTTCACTGGGACAGACTCATATCAATGCCACTCAGTATAATTTCAAGTTTGATGAGTTCCTAAGTATTTTTACCGCACTTCTAAAACCTGATGAGGAATTCAAAATTAGCACACAGCATTAAATGACATTTATTGTTCCATAAATCTTGAGACCCCAAAAGGAATGCTAAGTAGACAAGCAAAACTCTAAAACAAGAGATAAGCTCACTTCTTTCCCAAATGACTGGTACAGAAAACATGTGGTCATACAAAAGCAAAGCGAACGGGACAGAAAGGAAAGCTCTCTTCCCAGAAGGTCTATAGCAGTTACAGATATTTTCAAACCGAAGATGAAAATATTAAGACTGTGCCTCTTTGTAGCAAATAACCCCCTTTATGAGTAAAATGTCAAAGCTTTTACCCACTGAAGTAGTTTGTCTTTTAGGAGATTTCCAACTTAAAATTACTCATTCCTTCCTCTTTTCGCCTTAACAAAGATGAGGACCAAACAGTACACTCAAAGCCAAAAACACCTGAATAAATGGAGAGATGTTATTTGATTAAAATGGAAAAGAAGTTTGAAAAACTCAGTCTGCTACACCACAGGCCTCAAAAATGCTTGTCATCGGATTTTGGGAAGGTTTTGGGTGAAGGGAGGAGATATAATAAGAGAAATGAGAAAACAGTCAATTCCCTTTGAAAAGTATGCCAGCAGACAAGCATTTGGTTTTATGAAAGAGGCACTCTTTTTAATAGAAAAAGAAGTTATTACGTGGTGTATAAAAAGCTCCTAAATAATCATCAGAATGTTTATCCGTGATTGTACTAAAGCTCAGTGTTTGAGGAGAGGCTTAAGGGATTTGTATGGGACATTTTAGTGTTTGATTTATGACATACAGTGTTTCCATGAAAAATTTCATCTTGTACGTAATGAAGATCCCTTAACACCAAGTCAGAAGCTATCAACAATAATACCTTTATCCCCTACTTAGGTCACCTATTTCCAATATCTGGGGTAGGACTTTAAAAATGTTTAAGAACGGGGAGGCTTAGGGGGTGGTCAGAGATGGAGACAGTGAGGAAAAATCACAAGAGTTTAAAAGGCAAGGAGACTTCAAAAATGGAAACCAGAAACTAAAATGCTAAAAATGGAAGCGGAAGCAAAAAAGTTTTTCAATATATCTGTGACAAAGCAAAAACACAAAAGTCTTTGTACCTATTAGGATTTACACGGGATCCTCTCACCAAGGTACTCCTGACAATGCAGTTTGCTTCAAGCACGTCTTCTGGGCTTGGATTTTCTCCAATCTGGCATGATCACATGAGACGCACACCCTTAGACATGATTTCTCCGAGAAGGTGCCGAGCCTCCCACCTGACCACCAGCAGCCGCATCAGCCCAGCACACCTCTCCGCAGACCCCGTGCTGACTCCACGGCAGCACTGACCCCCCTCCTCCCCAGGTCAGCATGAGGTTCAGGCAATGAAAGCCAACTGGCACAGAAAGGTAAATGCCCACAGGAAGTGTTTACATTCATTTCCAAACCGCATACAGTGTAAAGACAGCGAAGGCTGCTTCCAGGAACTGTGTCTACTGGCCTCTGCCAGAGAAGCAGGCGGCTCTGCCTGCACCGTGGCCTCCATGGCTAAGATGCACGCTGTCCCGACGTGCTCACTCTCACGGGATGCTTGGTTATGGCAGTGACAGTGAGGAGATTCACCTCTCATACAGCTCATGAGAAAGGTCATCTTGTGTTTTCAATATGAAACATTTCATAGGGTAAAATCCAATCCCAAGACTTCTTGGATTCAGTCTTCACACACTTTTAAGCGTGACTTTATTTGGTACTGAATATAGTTCAGTCTACATAAGATATCACTTCAAAATTATGTGGACACCATCACTATTTTCAGCTGCAGAGAAAGGAAAGAAGTTATTTTGTTTTAGCCAGGCATAGGATACCAAGCCTATTAGACTGAAGATGCCCTGAAATCTCCAATCCCCTGCCCCGGTTTGGAGGTTGCTTTTGAGTAACTCGAGAGAGAAAAGCAGACTAGCTTCCTGTGGCTCCTTTCTCCTAAACCAGCTTCACGTGCACATCCCCTCTGTAGACATGCTGCTCTTGCACACCTTGCCCCCCTCCACTGACGGTCCTGCTCCCACACTGCTCGCCAGTTCTACGTGACAACAGTGCAGTGCACAAGGGGAGCAGGAGCTCGAGATGAGAACACAGTGTGAGGGCAGCAGGCAGAGGCAACTGCACAGAGAACACACACATAAGTTAAGGGTGCAAAGCAAACGCAGCTGCCTTTTTCTGGAAAGGGTTTCTCCTCAGAGGTAGATCTGAAACATTAAAAAATATATGCTGCTACTTTTGCCTGATGGTTAGTGTTTCTCAATAGAGGGTGGGACTCAGTATAGTCGTTCCTAGAGAAAGAAAGGAACTGGGCCGGGCTCGGTGGCTCAGCCTATAATCCCGTGCCTTGGGAGGCCGAGGTGAGTGAATTGCCTGAGCCCGCGGGTTCGAGACCCACCTGGGCAACTTGGCAAGACCTCATCTCTACAATAAATCAAAAAAATTCGCTGGGCATGGTAGCACGCGCCTGTAGTTCCAGCTACTTGGAAGTTGAGGCGGAAGGATCGCTGGAGCCCAGCAGGTCAAGGCTGCAGTGGCCGGGAGTGTGCCACTGCACTCCAGTCTGGGTGACAAAGTGAGACTCCAACTCAAAAAAAAAAAAGGAATTATTTCATGAAGACAAAGTTTGAAAAACAGTAAACTGAGATTGGAAGGGTAATCCTATGATGACTAACACCAGAAATGGCTACTGGTTTCATAGAACATAACTATGCAATTACAGTAGATGCTTTCTTTCATAGACAGTGTGAGTTTTACAGGGGAAAAACTGTGCTGCTTTGAGAACAAAAGATTGAACAGAAGGCTACTAAGCTAAAGACGTTTCTGAAAGTAGACAGTGTGAACCAGTACAGTTAAAACTCAGCTTTGCAGGTAACTTGGTGGCACAAGCAACAAGCCAGGCAGTAAAATCATCATCTCAGCCATTTGGGGCCCCTCCTTTTTTTTTTTTTTTGGGTTGGAGTCTCACTCGGTCGCCCAGATTGGAGTGCAGTGGCCGCTCCGGCCACCGCAGCCTCGCCTGCCGGGCCCCGGCAATCCTTCCGCCTCAGCCTTCCGAGGAGCTGGAATTACAGGCCTGCGCTACCACGCCCGGCTGATTTTTTGATTTATTGTAGAGATGAGGTCTCGCTGCCCAGGCGGGTCTCGAACCTGCGGGCTCAGGCCATCCACTCATCTCAGCCTCCCAAAGGCGCGAGATTACAGGCTGAGCCACCGAGCCCAGCTGGGGCCCCTCCTTTTTAATGTGACTGCCAGGAAAGGGCTCAGGGCACCTTCCTCTTCTAGGGGATGTGGATCTTAATCCTTGACTCCTAAAACAGCCTATGAATGCATAATCTCGTCTCAAATAATTCTACATTTAAAAGTGCCTCTGTCAAACCTTGAATGCTGGCGCTCTCCTGAACCTGGTCCAGGCCCTCTTTCCACATTCTCTCCCTCAACAACTTCTGCAGCTTTGAAAGTCACTGCTGCTATGTTGAAGGCTCCCAACTTGACATCTCAAGCCCAGGCGGCTTCTCTGATCCCCAGACTGGTAGAATTA